TTATATTAAAAAATCAACAAATTATACTATCACTATTAATAGATTAACTAATTTATATCTAAATAAAGTTTATAAATATAATTTTTACTTTTTTATATTTATCTAGACTATTATTTATTTATAGATAATCAAATAAGATCTACTTAGTTTTAATCACTAAAGTTTATTTTAGTATTTAATTAATCTTTAATATTTTTATATAAAAATTATTTGACAAAAAGTAAAATATCAATAATATAATACTAAATAATTATATAATAATTATTACTTTATTAATTTTAAATTATAATTCTTTTAAGAAAAAATTTAATTTTATATATAGTATATATACACAAATATTAATTAATTTATAAATTTGTATAATATACAAATCAAAACAATTTTAATAGAATAAAAAGTTAGATATTATCTAAGATTAAAGTAAAGATAAATTTGATTAGAAGTAAAAAAATAGCTTATACCAAAATTTCATAAAAATTTTTTTATTAAAGACCAAATGATGATTTTATAATTAAAATTTTAAGATATCAGCTAGTTTTTCTATATATCTATATATAAATATCTGTATATAATTAGAAATTGCTTTTTTTTAAAACAAATATTTATAGATAAAAATTGTACTTATAAACTTAACTAATTTTATATTAATTAATTATTTAAATTATTTTAAAAAAAATAAAATATATATTAAAAAAATAACTCGTCTAAATAATTAATTTGCAGAAATATTAAATAGATTACTGTGCTTATTAAACAAACAATTATCTACAAACCTACATGTTATTATCCAAGCCCAATTAGAAATCTTGAAAATTCTTTTACATATATTTCCAATTACTGTTAAATTAGAATTACTACAAGATCAGTACTATACTCTATCAATTATCACTATATATATAGCAAAAGTGATAGTACTAAGTAGTCATATTACTTCATAACCAGATCTATAGAAACAGAAAATCATATATTATTTATATAATAACAAGAATGTTTGACCAAAAATATACCAATTATTTACTACTTGTACTGACAGGTGTAGATATAGAAGAAAAAACTATATATTCTCAACTCCAAATCATATCTAACCAAGAAAGATTTTTTACTAAAACTTTTACAAATAATAAACTCAAAACTTATCTACAAAAAATAGATACATTAATTATTGAAAAAATATTAATGGTCTTTGCTAAATTACTAGACTATATGTCTAACTTATTCGCAAGATTATACAACAATGCAATTGCCTTCAGAAATATTAATGTAATAGTTGTTGGTAACTTCTTTTAACTCTCTCCTGTCTCTGGCTATCCTGTATTTCAAGCAACTACTTGGCAATTATTTTATTCTCTTTTCTTAAGAACACTACAATACCAAAATAATAATACTAAATTCTATATACTTTTAAGGTAAAATTTATACAAATAGTTAGAATATGCTATATTAATACTACTCTGAATTTTTAATCTATCGAACAACAGATATATTACTTTATACTACATATATTATTGGTTTTAGAACAAATATTTAATAATTATGACTAATTTGTAATATACTTTCTGTCTTTAATAACTAATTCCTAATATTACAAGCTATTGATCACATAGACTCTAATCTATGAGAAACTATATATACTAACCAAATTTTTAAACTGAAAACAAATCTATATTCTTATATCAGATTACAACCAGGTATTCATATAATGTATCTTAACAATACTCTAATCGAACAAAGTATATATAATGAAACTATAGATGTTGTTACTGATATAAACCTTAAAGATCAATCTATCTGCATTGTATTTTCTATCAGAGGATCTATAATAGATATTAATATTTACAAAATCATGCATTACTTTTAAATAAATAAAATTAATTACTACTATATACAATTTTTAATACAAAATTGCTTTGCTCTTACTGTTTATAAAACTTAAAGTTTAACTTTACCAAAAGTCTTACTTGTATTAGATAATAATATCTTCTTACTCGGCCAAATATATATTGCTCTTAGTAGATGTTCTATATAGCAAAATATCAAAATTGCTTATCTTAATAAATCAGTTTTTATTACTAATGAAGATGTAATACTAGAATATCAAAGATTAGAAAATATTGCTAGAATGAATCTGACTCTGTTTTAATAAAACATTCCTCCAAATATAAATACAAAAAAACTTACCTTAATATTAATTTTAAACATAACTACAAATTTATAGACTAATATAATAATAACAATAAACAAAAAATTATTTATTATATTTATTTCAAATAAACATAATAAACCTAATATTTATTACAATCAAAAAGTATTATTTTTACAATTTATATAAATATTAAGAATATTCTATTGCCTTTTAAAATAATTATAATCCTCTAATTAATACAATTACTCAAACTTTTTCTTAATATTATTTAGCTTTTTATTAATATTTAAATTAATTAAACTATTTTCAATAAAATTTTTTTATTCATAAAATTACAATAATAAAAAATTTTTACTCCAATAAATAACCAAATTATAATCTTCTAAAACAACATTAAAAATAAAATCTACAAACTTTTCTAACAATTAACATTCTTGATTAGTCTTTATAATTTTATTTCGATTTATCTAATTTTTCATCTATTATTACAGAAAATTTGTTTACACACTCAATATATAATTCTATAATATTGCATCTATTGAATTTAATACTTTTAAAAAAATATTTAGTTTCTCATGATTACAACAAATGCTTCTCAATTTACAGAATCAAAAAAAAAACTACTTACTAAATCAATTAATATTTTACTATATATTATTATTACTATCTCATAACTTGACAATATTACATAACTTTTGAAACTTTTTAGATTACAATTTTACCCAACTAAGTCATCAAATAATACTTATACCGTCATTACAACCATTCTACCAATATTAATACATATAAATAAAAATTTTTATCAAAAAATTCCCTAATTATTAAAAACTACATAATCAAAAAATAATTTATAAATACTATATAACTTCATATTCAGTTCACAAATAATTAAAAACTAATAAACTTAATACCAAACTAAATACAATGAAGATTTATAATTATCTTACAGTTTTATAAATAAATTCAAAATAAAATAATCATTTATATCGATTTTATCAAATTATCAGAAAATTCATATTTACAACCAATTTAATTTTAGAACTTATGAAAAATTAACCAACTAGTCAAATCGACAACTTATACTATATCAAGATACAAGTTACCCTAGTTAATATCAACCTCCTTACTATTACCTAAGCAACAAACCAAATTTTTTATAAAATTTTATATATAAAATTCCCTTATATATATCAACTTTAAAATGATTTCTTGCTAATATCACTATTAACATAATTTAAAACTGATTTAAATAAATTGATATTAACGAGAGTACCCTATACAAACATTACCAATTATATTTCCAATACATGGTATTAGATAAGAAAAAACATTAGCTAGTTTTTATTAAAGATTTGAGTTTAAGTGATAATTCATGATAGAATCAAAATATTTTTATAATAAAGTTTGGGGCAAATATCATATAAATTTTAAAGTAAAGTGGAATCTGCAGATCCTTCAAAATAAAGTTATTTTTTTACTATACTAACCTTTCTTCTCTTTATAATAAAAGTTGTAGAGCAAGTTTTTGTGATTCTAATAGTAGCAAGATTGTTAAAATTGGCTTGGTAGTTCTTGAGATATCTTAACTTTCTTCTTTATACTTATATAAACTTTTTTTATAAAATTTAAAAAAAACTTATATAAATATAAAGAAAAAAGTTAAGATAGCTCAAGAACTACCAAGCTAATTTTAATGATCTTAGTACCATTAGAATCACAAAAACTTGCTCTACAACTTTAATTATGAAGAGAAAAAAGGTTAGCTTAGTAAAAAAGTAATTTTACTTTGAAGGATCTGCAGATTCCACTTTACTTTAAAATTTATATGATATTTGCCCCAAATTTTACTATGATGATACTATAATAATATTCTGATTCTATCGTGAATTACCACTTAAGTATATTTTTCGATCACGTGATAATTAAACAAAGTTACGACTTTATCTTGGGAATTGCTACCGACACAACAAAACACGTGCTTATCGACACAACAAAACACGTGCTTATCGACACAGCAAGTGACCAGCACTAACCTTAACGACACAGCATGGCCGGTACTATATTTAAGGTTAGTGTTAGAATGTAGCAGAATTAGGAATTATGTCACGTGTTTGCTGTGCCGGTAGCAATTCCCTTTATCTTCGCTATTACTACCAGAAGTTACAACTTTACTTTTACCAAGAGTTTTATGATGGATTTTCAATTCACGGTTTTATCACCAGGAGTAGCACTTGGATCTCTTGCACTTGGGTGAAACATATTCTAAATCATATTAGTGATGTCACCTATAGAGATCCCCGCATTTTTTTTGAACACTTGCTTGTGTTACTTGTGATTTCCCATCGGCAAAAATCCGCCGATTATCATATAATCGAAAAAATACAATTTAAAGTTTCCCATTATTAGTTAAAATAGATTGGAATATGCCTTTTTATGAAGCTAATATTAGCTATTAAATGGAAAAGCCTTAATAATTTTTTTTAAAGATTAATATCGCAATAAAAATATATCAAAAAAGATAGATACCTATATGTATTTGCATGACTAATATATACTATCCATTTTTATGTTACGTATTACAGGACCCTCGTTAACAAATTGCATGTTTCATCTATTGTGTTACGATAAAAAAAAAATATTTAGATAGAAGGCTTAAGGGAATAGTTGTTAACAATAATTTTTACAATTTAATGATATACATACTTACTAATTAAGCAAAAAATTTTCTTATCTTCTCGATTTAATATATTTTAAGCAGTCACTTTTTATAGATTTCCTATTCTAATAACAGGATCTAAATTTAATAAATCAATCTTGTTCCAAAAATAAACACATATTCGATAGAAGTTCAAAATCATTAAGAGAAAAACATTGAAATATGATAATTCTGCGATCTTTTTGCTTCCCACTTTACTGCATTCCAATCTTCTTCATCAATCAAAGTAATCGTATCATTTGACAGATTTTTATATGTCACGCGATTTGGATTAATATCAACCTTATATCTTTCATGAACTAAAAAAAAAAAAAAAAAACCAAATATTATTTCTCCAATAAAAATATAAATAAGAAGTGCGCCGTTTATTACGTAATTTCTTTATATTAGAAGATCAGATCCCCCCCCTCCAGATGATAAAATCAGCAGTCAATCATAATATTTTGTATAATCTATAGTGATAAATCGCTAACCTCCCTCCCCCAAAAAAATTACATAATAAACGGCACTCTTCTAATAAATTATATACTCACTAGATGTAAGTATGTCTTTAAATTTGGTTTCAATAGCCACATTAATAATATATTTTTTTGAAAGAAAGTTACAGGTGATCTGGAGCTGGTTCCATTGTCAGGTATTATAATTCAATTATGCAACCAAAATTATTTGGACTTTATAGAAACCTTACCTCGTCATTATCACCAGTCTTATTAATATTATTATCCAGTTTTGTCAAGTTATTTTCATTTACCTTTTTGTTCATTAAAATTATTATATGAAATAAGACAACAAACAAAA